GGGGCACCAGCAGCACCAGGTGGGGGCTGTGGGAGGCCTTTAGTTTTAATCACAGATTTTGGGGTTTATCAGAGAATTTGCTTTTTTTTTTTTTTTTTTTAAATCAGAGAATCTGTGATCTTTAAATCAGGGAAAACCAGGATCCCTGATAAAGCAGGGTCAATAGGAAGTTGCAGAGATAAATAAAAGGAGTAGGTAAAATAGATGCAGATACCTTATTTTAAACCTTCTTCTGCACCATTTCTAATTCCCTGAAAGTTCTTCCCCTCTCCCGTGCCTCCCCTCCCAGGAGTAGAATACAGGGAAGAAACACACACTATAAGGGTTTTTAATTTATTTTACTGCCTAGAAGAAAAAGGCAACTCAGACAGGGATCTCTGCCTTGAAGATTACTTTGCTAGTAGCATTACGCATACACAAAATCTAGGACCCCATGCTTGGGTTTGATAACTCATCATCAAGTATCATAGATGTAAATGGACACTGTGGAAAACGCTGAATTTAACAAACACTATTATCACAGTGTTTTAATTATTTATTTTAAATGCACTATTCTTTGCAAACAAGCAAACCAAAAAAATACTTAAAATTCACAAATGGCATGATGATTCCTCAGTTCTACTTACTATCTGCTCTGTAAGTTTATTCACTTGTTTCTGGAGCTTTTGACATTCTTTGAATTTTTCCTTGTAATGATCAGCAGCCATCTGTAGGCGAAGTTTCAGATCCTCAACCTCTCTGCGCAGTTCTTGCTCTACTGTGTTTGAAGTTTCCTTTAATAAAAGGAAGCAAAGAAAAGGAAAAAAAAAAAAAAAAAAAAAAAAACTTAGAAGTGTATATATTTTTTCAAATAAATATTGTAAAATGCTTTTCAGACTGTTATAACAAAGACAAAGTGCTTTGGACTGAAGTATGAATAAGAACCTTTTCAGCCTTTCCAGAGGCTGCAGAAGAAATGTATGACTGATACAGGAAGTAGCTAACCCAGCTTTCGCAGCACTGGCAATTCTTAACTAGTTAGCTATGGACCAATTGTGGCTCCCTTTTGCTGACTGAGTCACTTACTGGAGACAGTCTGGCCTATTACGTTTCTTCAGAATCTTGTTCATAGTTTAATAGTAGCTAGGGTCAGGAGGGACCTGAACAGATCATCTAGCCAGACCCCCTGCCACAGGCAGGAATGAATGCTGGGTTCACAAGTTCCCAGACAGGTGATCATCTAATCTCTTTTTTAAATTTAACCAGGGTAGGGGCAAGGACCACTTCCCTAGGAAGTTGGTTCCATATTCTGGTAACCCTACTTGAAAAATATTACCTCCTGATCTCTAACCTAAACCTATTCTCCATCAGCTTACGACCATTGTTTCTTGTCACCCCAGCTGATGCTGGGGAGAATAGGGCTCTTCCTATTTGCTGCTGATCTCCCCAACGAGTTTGTAGGCAGCCACCAGGTCCCCCCCTCAGCCTCCTCTTGCTGAGGCTGAACTGGTTCAGGTCCCTCAGTCTCTCCTCATAGGGCCTGTCTTGCTGCCCTCTCACCAAACAGGTGGCCCTCCTCTGAACCCTCTCCAGGCTGGCCACATCCTTTTTAAAGTGCGGCGCCCAGTACTGGACGCAGTACTCCAATTGCAGCCTGACCAAAGTTGCATAGACGAGGAGTATCACCTCTCTGGACCAGCTTGAGATGCACCTTTGGATGCATGACAAGGTATGGCTGGCCTTGCTGGCTGTGGTCTGGCATTGGCGGCTCATGTTCATCTTGGAGTCAATAATGACTCCAAGATCCCTTTCTGCCTCTGTACTTTCAAGAGGGGAACTCTCCAGCCTGTATGTATGTTGTGGATTCCTTCTCCCAAGGTGCAGCGCCCTGCATTTGTCTACGTTGAACCCCATCCTATTCTCATCTGCCCACTTTTGTAGTCCATCTAATTGCAGCCTCTCTCTTCCTTCGAGTGTGCCCACCTCACCCCAGATCTTAGTGTCATCAGCAAACTTGGACAAACTTAACATCTTCGTCCAAGTTGCTGACGAAGATGTTAAACAGTGAGGGACCGAGGACCGAGCCCTGGGGGACCCCACTGCTCACATCTCGCCAGGTTGAGTACGGCCCGTCCACCACTAATGGCGGTTTTTTTTAAGTTAGATTTTTAGAATAACAAAAACATTTACTAATATACTTTCCCACTAAAGAATTTCTGAGCATCTTAAATTGAGGCATGCTGTTTTTGCTACCTTTTGGAAATGCATTTTCCCCCCCCAAACTGCCATATAATTGCAATACTCTTTTCTGGTGTAAATTAATCTGAGACAGTAGTAGTCACAAGGAGTCTGAGCCAAAACTCAGTCAGTGAAAGTCCTTCTGTTTTCTTTGGTGTGTTTTAGAACAAACCTCACATAAACAACATACGCTTGAAACTTTTTATTATACAAATGTATATTAAATAAACACACATGCATATGCACACGCAACAAGCTCAAAAAAGGTACTTGCACCAAAAATTCTGAATTATTCATGAAAAGGCTTATGCTTTTCATCCAGTAAGGAGTAAATCTTAATCAAACCACATCCAGTAGCCTCCATCTTGTTTGCAGTAATTCAGAATAACCTGTTTTCCCAGTGTTCACACTAGTTGAAAACGGGTAATCCAATCCAAAGTAATCTACATAACCCACAATTCTATTCATTTGTAAGAATAATTTCTGGGGAAAAAACTGAATCTCAACATAAAAAATAATATAGAATGTTCTTCTCAACTATAAACCCCCTAAAACAATGTATATGTTTTGAATTAAAGATAATGTATTTAATGGTAAGACAGATTTCTTATTACAGCTTATCTAAGAAAAAAAACCAGGTTCCATGCAAAAACTGGCCAAATTTGTAATTAAATAAATAAATACATTTAATTAATTAATTAATAATAATAATAATAAACACATTTAATTAATTAATTAATTAATTAATTAATAAATAATAATAATAATAATACCTGCTCATTTTTCAAAAGTGTGATTTTTTTAAGTTCATCTACAGCATCAGCAAGCTGCTGCTTCAATTTTTCATTTTCCAGACGAGCACTGTGAAGATCAGCCATGGTCTTGTCTCGAACATTTACTGCATCACTCAACTCTTTTGACTTTAAGGCAGCTTCCTGTCTGCTACCTTGAATTTCATCTTCAGCTTTCCGGAGCTGTTCCTTTAAAATGCTTACATCCTCCTGGGGGAAGGAAAAAAACAAACAGGAAAAAACCCAAAAGAAACTGAGTTTAATTACTTAAATAAAGACTGAAGTGCGTCTTCACATCTGAACATTTGAAAGAGAAAGTAATTTTCCCTCATGCCTATAGACATTAAGGGCTTTTGTCTGCTCTGATGTGCCAGGGATCTGGCATGTCAGAGCAGAATCAATTAATCGAGTTTGCTCTGCATGTGAGCTGATGCACCCAGCACTGTGTTGCATATGCATTTGTATAAATGGTGAAATACCATGAGAAAGTGGCAGCGGTGCACTTTTGAACTAAAACACCTTCGATGCATTTCAGTTCAAAAGCACACTGCTGCCATTTTCTAAGCACTGATGCAGATATCACCATTTATATAGATGTATGCACTGCAGTGCCTGGCACTTTTAAAACCACCCGACACTGCAGCGAAAACATGTATACAAACACCCTAAGGCCAGGGACAAAAGTTCCACGTAAACCGGTTTAAGCGATCAAAAACTGGTTTAAACTTGTAACAGAACGTAAGTGCTGAGGGCAGATGTAGAGGGACCAGCCTGGGCTGGGCCCTGCCCAGGAGGATGAGGCTTGGGCTGAGGCCGTGGGGGCTGTACAGCCAGACTGCAGCTGCCACCATGCCCCCCATTTTCTGCAACCTTCTGTGGCTGCAGTTGCACCCAAACTGTGAGCTAGCCAGGCCTGCGTGTACTTTTCTGCCCCTGCCCCGCCGCTCTGGGTGGGCAGGCGGGAAGCTTCAGCCCCGCAGCTTCTGCCCAGCTCATAAAGCTCTGGCTCCAGCTTCTGGATGCTTTCCACCAGTTCCATCCATGGGCGGAGCAGGTGGAAAGCAGCCAGAGCTGGAGCCAGAGCTACATGTGCTGGGCTGAAGCTATCACCCACCACACACAGTGCTGTGCGGTGCAGGACCAGGAGCTGCAGCTAGAGGTGAGCGGAGCAGAACAGCTCCGCCCTGCCAGCTTCCCCTCTGCTCCAGCAGCTCCTACCCCTCCCACTCCTGCCCATGCTGCACTGCTCTGAGCAGCGAAGTGGGGGAGGGCAAGGGGAGCTGCAGGAGCAGAGGGGAAAGCTGGACAGACCCCAGCTGGGGTGCTGTTCCTTCCCTGAGACAGGGGAGTTTATTCACCCCTTCACCTGAGGTGCTGCCCCAGCCAGTGTCTGGCCTTGGGGACAAGCTTGGCCAGGGCTGCTTCCCCATCTCCCCATCCAGGCACATCATGGCTGGGGGCCCTACAGGCTAGTGCAGTGGGTTTAAACCCCTCTGCAATCATACTTAGCAGTCTGCCAGGGCCTGGCCACACCCCTCAAGTCAGCTTTCCTCCAGCCTTGCAGCTGCTGAGGAAGGGAAGGGAAGGGAAGGCTGCTGCAGCACCCACCCGCTCCCTGGCTTCTAGCCTAAGCCACTGCAGGCAGGTTAGACTAACCTACAAAGACTGAATCAATTTAGGCTCCGGCTTTTTTAATGTCTGTCCCAAGCCTAAGGTAACTGTCTTGTAAGTGGTTTTGTCTTTATTCTGTCAATAAATTTTAGTTGATTGAAAATGGTATACAAATGAGTTAATGGTATAATATAATCTTTGTTCCAAAATAAAAGTTTCAGAAACTTATTATTACTCTGCACATTGCTATTTTGGTGCATTTCCAGCTGATTCTATTTTAAACCCAATTAACATAACTTAATTTCAACAACATCTTTGCTCTCAATTAACAACACAATGTCATAAGTAGAGATGCCTCTTCATTTTTAAAAGAGAATGTGTGTGTATCAAAGATTTTATAAAATAGCAAATAAGTGAAATCCCCACTCCGGCTGTAGCTTTAAACATCACAAAAAGGAGTGGAAGGTTTTTTGGGTTTTTTTAGAGAGGCATAAAAGCTCAATATCTGGATATGATTCTCTTCCTAAAGACACTAAGTAAGATGGCAGTGGGCTGTCTTAACTGAGTCTAGACGAACTGAAGTCTGTGTAGCCCGCTATTCTCAAATGCATTTTTCTGAAGTCTCCAAGAGATTATATGGACTTTCTTTTAGATTGACTGTGCTTGGATTTCTGCACATGTAAATGAATACATGGTTACTGCCCCTTTACCTCTGTGACAGAAGGTATTATTAAATCAGATACATCTCTGTATATATCTGTGATTTACAGCAGACAGTAACATAGCAGACAAAGCATTAGGGATCTTCCAGGATATGACATTATTTGTTAAATTAGTGGCAGATGTTACAATGCAACACGATTAACCTGTTAATTGCACTATAAATAGTAGTCTCGCTACACATTCAGGGAATCAGTGGCATGACAAAATGGAAAACGAGACACAGTAATATTCCACAAAACAGGTAACAATTTTGTGGCTGGTTTCCATCGCTTCTTAAATAAAATATATAGCAGGGTAATCTCACCATTCAGTCTGATGCTGGCTGCATGGGGGGCTTAGCTGACAGGTCCCCCTGCCTCAGCAGACTGATAGCCTTGTGCTACAGGCCTGACTGGGACAGCACCCCAGGGTTTTCAGGGTGCCAGATGGAGGAGAGCCCATCAGCTGGGCCAGGGTGTTGGATCAGTTGATTGTCAGTCCCAGCCCTGGGACCACACTGGGTCATGCCAGGCTGCGGGGCACCCAGCTTTTAACCTGCTAGTGCAGGGGAGCTGGGAATCATGATCTTAAGTTCCCATTGCACTGGCAATTAATGATGGTGTGACTGGATCTCATCCCGGATCCCTTAAACAGCATGTCCTGTCATGCACATGTGGCACAGCAGGAGGTGCACTTGTTGGGAACAAATCCCAATACATTAAATGAATGTGTCATAGGGCCCTTATGGTTAACACTTGATCCTGCATTGGAAAACACTTTTTTTTTTTTTTTTTTTTAAGATAATACACACATTAGATGTCTAACAATAGATTCACCAGCATGGCATTTAGGGGAATGTAACTAGAAATACCCAAATCTAATTTAGGCTGGAAAGACAAGGCAACATACTTTGCCATTTTCCCATCTTGCTATTTTCTTTGTACACATTATTACTTCTCCACTTTCACTGAATTTCATGCACACAATCCTCACTGAGTGTACTGAATTTTTTCCAGACTGCATCAATCTTCTCTTTGAGGAAATTCTCAATCTGCTGACTGCTCTCAAATTTCATTCTCTTAAATAAATCTTGAGAACAATACTCTTATTCCCTCTAACCTTTCTTTTGATTTTGTCCTCCCCTACCTTTCACACCATTGTAAACTCCAAACAGTGCATTCTTATTGTTCCTTCTGCATCTCTTTTGATGCCCTTCCCCCGCCACTTTCCCCTATACTCTATAAAGTCCCAACAGGATTATGTCTTTGGTTCCCTTCTCTTCCACTTTCTTTCTAGATCTAGTTAGTTCCACTAAGACAGCCACAACTTCCTTTTGCTATCCTGGCAATTGAAACATTCTCTCAATGCCACCTCCCTTCTTTTCACCCCACATTTCTGCCCGTCTCCAGTATCACCTGCAAACTATTTCTCTACCTATTCAAACTTAGCACGGCTAACACAAAACTAATTTTCTATCTAAACTTTCTCCAGTTTCTCATTATATATTAAAAATACCATCATCAGGCCTGCTTCCTCCCCACCATCTTCTTCAGCACCCTCATCTTTGCCAAACGCATGCAACTTTACATTAATAATACTTTCAGCTTCAAGGGATACTTTTAAATTGTGCCAATCATACCAGCAGCACCTACCTTGCTCGTTGACGAAAGCAAGAATGTTTTCTTCACGTTTTCTTTTTCAGCCACACACATCTGTAGTTTGCCAACCTCGTCTTTGTAATAGGATATCAAGTTTTCTTTATTTGCATCCAAATTCTTTAATGCCTGGATCTCTTTTACTAGCTTGGTGTTTTCTATTTCTGTATTCTTCAAGTGCATCTGTAATGATTCTCAAAAATGTGAATTCTCCTTCCAACTGTAAACACAAGAAATCTTAGCACAAGTTTTGCTATACTGTGAAAAGTTAAGTCTTTTTAGAGATCAAAACATTAACGTTTTTATAATTTCAACACTTGCTTCAGGATTTCTGGATAGGAAAGAAAATGAACAAAGGGAAACTACAATGAAGAATTACACCATACCCAATACTGCAATAACAGTACTCAGTTCCAGAGACAACACAGTCTACAAAAAAAATACTAAAGTTGTTCCTGAAGATGTAAACATATAGTAGCTAGTATATGCTCTGGTTACTTGCAAAGGGATCAATGTCCCTGTGAAACATCGCAATGCCTGGAAGGGACATTTTCATCACTGCTTTATCATGGTCCCTTATCAGGTGCTGTGTTATACAATAAAAAAGTGCCTGTCTAGCATCACTTAATTTTAATTAATCAGGAGTATATTTAAATAGAACAGTCAGTGATTAGCCTCCTTCAAGAGACCTTTCAGTAACTTCAGGCATTTTCTGATTGCTTTCCACACTCATCTTTATCTAGAACATTTTTTAAGACAGTTAAAAGATGTTCACAAAAAGAGACTGTTTCCTGATGCATTCAATTTATCACAGTTCTTTAAATTGGCATTGGACTTACTTTTACCTGCCTAGCTTCAGGACATGCAGTTGGGAAGCATAAGTTACCTTATAAAGCTCCTTCTCATCTTTTTCTGTCTTTAACTGACATTCAAGTTGTTCTTTCTCAAGGACTAATTTCTTCAGCTTGTCTTTCCAACTAAGGAATGGATCAATTGGAAGATATTAATAAATACAGAACATACATCTCTTCCTAATTTACATGTATAAATATAAAAATAAAATTAAAACAAAACATAACATTCAGAGAGTCAAATACCTGTCTAACTCTGTTTCTTTTTCAATTGCTTTTTGAGTAACAGACACAAGATCTTCTTCAAGTTGGAGAACCTTTGAAGTGGTTTCATCTTTCTTTTTCTTTAGCTCTTCATTTTCAGTTTTCAAAGTTTCTGATGTTTGAATATTGCCCTTTAAAAATGTATATAATAATTTGTTTAGAGATTTAATTCTTCTATACTTTTTAAAAAGCATCTTCTTCATTGCACTTATGAATTCATTTTAAAGTTAAGGCTTTCAGTTCTAAATACTTTATAATAAAACAATACTATTTAGTGCATTTTTAAACAGCTTAAACTGAGCGGGCCCAATTTACTTTCACACTGTAGCATACCTACGAATAAAAATAATAATTAGGGTATAAACAAAATGTTTTTTTGTTGTTTTACATTTCTCCAGCTCTTAATATTTTAAAAGCTGTATGTATACTTCTAAAAGGATAAGGTACTTACAAAAACAAACAACAGCAAGAACAGCTTTAAGGACCTGTGCAAACTGGAGAAGAATCTCTCACATCATTAAGTATCTCGCCAGGGAGAATAATTATTTAGGAGCATTATGAGGAAATATACTTAATTACATATAAGAGGATAAAACAGAACAGTACCCACACTGAATAAACTGCACTGGTACAGAGATAGGATAGATGCATCTAGTTAGTCTTTTCAATTTCTTTTTTTTCCTTATAGAACTGCACACAATTGTATGTATATTAACAGCTCTATGAAGTTAAGATATGTACTTAAGCCTACACTTTTATATACAAAGCCATAACTCTAAGTAGAGATTTAGTTACAGAAAAGGCAGACTTATTAGATAACCTTAATTCAAGTTATTATTTTTGTTTTAATAATCTAACATTAGCAGGTAAATTTAACTCTTGCACTGCTTGGAAGATTACCTAGATTAAACATTAAAATGAGCAAAAATCAGAGTAAAATGTTTTAAGTAGAAACATTTATTTCTAGGCTACATGGAGTATAGTCATAGAAATAAAGTAAAAAAAAGAACACACAATGTCAATGCCTGATATTCTCTAATACGTATTTCGTTACATTCATGCAGTTTTACATAAAAGCTTTCCAGGCATGTGCAATTTTCATAATCTCGACATTTCTCCTACAAAATTATTCACCACAATTTATAAATACAAAGTCAGATACACATATGCTTTAAACTAGTGGTGGTGAACCCTGAAGGCTGACATGCCAAAAATTAAGCTACGCTCCATCCTTGAGTGTCACTCTAATCCCCACACCTGAGAGGGGCATCTGATAGAATTTGCACCCTGGAGCACCAGGAGGCG